TATATCTCACTTTGTCAGATCTTGCTCCATCTGATTATTCTGTTTCTAGACGTCAAAGAAAAATGTTTAAAATGCTACATGGAGAAGGCTTGGACAATTTGATACACACAGGACAGATTGAAGGCAAGAAGAACAAAGGAAAAAAAAACATAAATACTACCTAGAGAGGCTGAGTAAATGGATGGCGGATCAGAGTTTAAGAGAAATAACAGAAAGAAAAAATTATTAAAAGCTACAAGGGAGAGGAAGTTGTGGAGAGCCGTTATCGTCTACGTTTTGAGGGGACACGTCACTTAAAGAAGTTATTGAATTATTCGGGGGTTGGCAAAAGCAGCAACAGCAGAGAAAGAATTCAAAGAGAAAACATTTGGGGGAAATTTTAAATAAACTTGGGAGACAACGATTCAAGTGTATTAAACTTAATTGTGAATATATGGAGTATCTATTATGTTTCATGATTTCACACAAACACATACAACCACATATGCACACGCACACATTGAAACCTATAAGTTTGACAATCTTATAGTTAAAAAATAATAATTTACCTCTTAGATCAAAATTAAGTAGAACAAATATTATTTACGAAGTTAAATAAAGGAATTGTGTTCCTGATCAATCGAAATTCGTAAACAATTATATTGGCCGAACCACAACATGTTTAGCAAGAAGACTAACGGTACATCTTTCTGACCATAGCTCAATTAGAACTCATTTAAATACTCATAGAGATCTACAGGACTCTATTCGTAACATACTTGTTGATAACACAAATATAATAGTGTAGTGGGCCGTCGCTGTTTTTGTTGTTGAGTTGACGTAGAAGAAACACATGTAGGTTAAGATTTTTTTCCTGCTCACCGACCCAACTACATAAAAAGGTTGGACTTTGATTAAGTCCAAAGAAAAAGGCAAAGAGAAACAAACCCAAGACCTATAATATATGTATATAAATATATATATTGATAACAGGTTACCTAGAAACAGTTACAAAAGGACAAAGTGTGTGTGAATATTATATATGTGCGTTTGTGTGTGTGTATTGTGCTTAGCGTGTTCGCAGCATTTTTGGGAAACGCTATCCCTGGTGAGCGTTCACATTTTTGAGGTGGTAAGGCTGGAAGCCTGAGGAAAAAGAGAGATTTACCTCCAGGTGTCGGCGCACAGGCCTGAGGGAAAAAGAGAAAGAGGCGAAGGGTCAGCGGCTATTTATAGCCAGGGAAGAGAGACCCCTGGTGAAAGGGTTAACGAACTAAAGGAGAAGTTAACTCCGACAATAGCATCGTCTACATGTAAAAGAAAAGGCTAAAAATAATAGAAACCTTATTAAAAAAAAAGAAAAAAATAGCAGTCAATATTATCAACTATGAACATGGACACAATATCTTGACCATGTTTTAAAAATGAAATAAATACCTGCATACAACAATCTATTTCTTGTTAACAGTTAATATATATCATACTTGAAAATGGTTAAATGTATAGCTGAAAGCGCTCGGGAAAATATAGCATTTGTAAAGCTTTTGTATAAATCATCTACTGAAAAGAAAAAAATATAAGATCATATGAGAAATTATATAAACGAAACTTAATCAAAGCACCTTGTCTGTCATATTTAATGAAGCTTGGATATATGTGTGTGTGTATGTTTGTGTGAGTAAGTGTGTATGTGATTTCTGCCTTCTCGTTATCGAGCATAGCCATCGCACAATACCCTGTTGAGATTCACCGATGTGACTTTTAAGCCCGACAAATGATCTCCATTATTTTCCAGACTCGTCGAAACGTAAGTTTTCAGTACTACTGGGATTTATCATTCAGAGGCCTTAAGTTAATATTAGTTTAATCTGCAGAATAACTTCAATCAATCTATTTTTCTAAATTCCAAATATCTCAAAAACTAACCATTAAAAATGGCAGAAAATTTTGTTAAATATTTTACTAAGAGTGGAAATGAAGGAGTTTAAATTTGACAAATATTGGTTCAGAACCTTTCGATTTATTGATTTTTATTTGATTTACATAATAACTTCTGACATGCAGTAGATAGATAGAAAGGAAACGTACGCTCTGATTAAGAATTAGTTGAGTTGTAAAAGATAAATGTGTTTTTGACGAAGAGGTTTATAATTTGAAATAAAGAAGAGAATAAAACTTGGAAACTAAAAATTGAAGCTAAAGGCCAAAGGAAAAAACATGTGAAAGGGTAGAAAGAAAGAAAGAAAGAAAGAAAGAAAAGAAAGAAAGAAAGAGAAAAAAAAATAAAGAAAAAATACAAAGAAATAAAAAAAAACTGTCTCCGAGAGATCAAAATCTTTCAGGATAGATAGATAGATAGATAGATAGATAGATATGAATAGGTTGAGATAGATAGATAGATAGATAGATAGATATGAATAGGTTGAGATAGATAGATAGATAGATAGATAGATAGATAGATAGATAGATAGATAGATAGATTTTAGAAGATCAGCAAATCGCGCTACCTTGGATTCTAATTTTCGTCATCGTCAGGCATTATAGGCTAAATGATTTCCTAGCGCTTCGTTATTTATCTTTTTATCCTTTTCAGGTTACGTCTTGAAATTGTGTTCCTTTCCAGTGGGATTCGATTTTGGAAAAGAGGAAAAAGTCACAGTGGGCGAGATCCTAGGAATATGGTTGTCGGATCTGCGAAAAGTAGTCCTTGGCTAAAAACTGCTGTACAAGTCATAGTCACTGATGGAACCTCTGTGATGTGATGTGGTGGGACGACCACACTCTACACTTTCCTTCCAAGCCCTGCTGTAAACAATGGATAAGTGTGAGAAAGTTATAACTTAGAGTTATTCCCATTGTGTTATTCTCGACAGATTTTAAAGGTCAATTTGTACAAAGCAGTTTCCCTCCGTTATAATAGCAACAGCACCGTATTTCACAGATTCATTGTTAATTATTTTCCTAAAATAATACACTGTAAATACCATCCCTGCATAAATTATATAGTAAATGATTTTATAATAAAAATGCATTACATAAGAAGAAAGAAAACATCGCTGACCAGGACGTAATGTAAGCATCGCTAAAAGTAAATGAAATATTGTATATATATTTTCCAGAAAGATTGATTTAGAGATTGAAAAAACACTAATTCAACATCACGAATAACTTATTTCTAGACTATAAATAGATTACGAATATTATTATTCTTCCGTGGTGATTCATGGAGACAAACTCCTTTCCATGTCTTTGACTGCTTGAGTAGCCGTCACGAGCAAGAGATTATAGAGCACTTGGTACTCTGGATGTTTTGTGTTAGCCGTAATCTTGCAAACCTGAATGCTAGCACGAATGCGGCAGCCAATCTGTTCCGATGAAGACGTAGAGATAAGCGGCTGTTGTGCTAAATGCTTCGAGGCTTTGGCAAATCTTTCACATCGTGACTGATTGTAATTCTAAGTCGAGTGTTTCAATCCGGATTTCGGCTCTAATCTAACTTAATCCGGTTGGGTGGAAATGTCTGCCGGATTATCAGTTTTCTTTTTGTTTTTGGGGGTTTTGTTTTTTTTTAACTTGCATGTTTATTCACAAACAAATTCATTCCGACACGTTCGTTTCGAAGAATTTTTTCAGAGGAAGAATCCAAAAATAGACGCAACCTTTTAATTAAAGGAATAACAGGAAATTGTACTGTCAGGATAACCAGAAATTCACAAACACAATGGCACATAGATTAGAAAATTAAGCAAAAATCACAGAAATCCAGTTCAGACTTTCATTCAGAATTCCATCACAAATACATCTGATCATCAAATGATTTGTCTGACAATAAAAGAAATCAGAATTACAGAAATATACAATTCTCAACGGTGCCATATCCCAGAACCGCAGACAGAAATTAAAATGATAAGCAAATATCGTTGCTAGCAAAAAGTCTGCACTAAATTACGGGGAGAAAATGAATTAGATTCTAACAGGTGGATGCTAACAGCGCCACATCTCAAATACGCAAACTGAAATCACAATTGCTAGAAACTTCGATGCTAACAGCGCCACATCTCAGATTCGCAAACTGAAATCACAATTGCTAGAACCTTCGATGCTAACAGCGCCACATCTCAGATTCACAAACTGAAATCACAATTGCAAGAACAGTCGACGCTAACACCGCCACATCTCAACACTTCAGGCACAAATCACAATTATAGGAAAATTCGATGCGAACAAAACCTCACCTAAGTATTAGAAATTGAAAATCACTGTTACTTGAATTAAACATATCATTTGTATTGCTTTTCTCATTATATTTGCTTTCATCTTAATAAATCTGCTTGGAGCGAAAGAAAATAATTACAAAAGATTCCTGTTTTAAAACGTTTTTTTCTTTGAATTTTTCCTTCATACTTTTTGTTTGTCTTTTCATTTGTTGCGTTCCTATCGATGGCTTAATAAGTTTAAATGTTGAAAGTGTTTAAATAAATTGACTGAACATTGCAATTTGTTCTTGAAATGTTTCGCGGATAAGAATTTTAAATTAAATGTAATTAGCATGTTTTCCTTTAATTCCTGTATTTTTTTTATCGTTTATCTTCGAGCAGAATATAAAGAAAAAGGAGAAAGATTGGAGGTGTAAAAAGTAGAAGGAAATGATAAATTCGAAGAAGAAGAAGAAGAAGAAGAAGAAGAAGAAGAAGAAGAAGAAGACGGGGACGACGACGACGACGAAGAAGAAGAAGAAGAATGTAGTGGAAACGAAAGAAAAAATTGTCATTTTGAAAGTAGAAAAAGATGATATATGAAAAAGAAAGAAGAAAAGCAGGAGGAAGAGAAGGAGGAAGAAATAGATCAACCTAAAGATATGTGAGAAGAAGAAGAAGAAGAAGAAGAAGAAGAAGAAGAAGAAGAAGAAGTCGTGATAAAGTAGGAAAGATGAATGAAAAAGTCGTTTAAAAGAAGAAATAGACGATGACAGATGGAAAAGAAAAACGCAAGTAAGGGAATATGACGAAAAGTTAGAGGTACTGGTAGTGATTGATGAATATAGAGATGATGATGGTGATGTTGAAGATGAAAATAATTTGTTATTAGTATAAGAATTCATTAAACCAACATTTTGGTTTGGTAAAATGTTGGTTATTGTAAAATGTCAGTGATTGATAACAAATCGAATAATTTCTTTCTATTTCCTTGTAACCGAATTGCTTGACATACAGACAGCGTACTCGCGGCCATACTTGTTTTTTAATCTATCTCACAAGGCTGTGACAATAAACGCGGTTTTATAAGAACGAGGAATTATGGTTAAAGAAGAACAGAGAGGAGGAGTCATAAGAAAGAGAGAAACACAGGAAAAAAGTAGAAGAAGAAGAAAAAGAAGAATGGAGAAAAAAGAAGAGCAGTAAAAAGAAAAAATAATAAAAAAAAAGCCAGAATAATATGGTTTCATTTCTTTTTTACGGCTTATCAACCTTTTGCAGTTTATTTAAAGCTAAATAATATTTCTGGATTCTAAGAATTTTTTAGAGATAATAATGATTTACTCATACAAGTCTTACTATTTAACCCATATCTGGGTGATGAAGTAGTGGATTCATAACTTTCCCAGTCGTATTTGAGTGTAAGTGAATATAACGAACCCGACTGGGATTCGAACTCGAACTGGGCTCTCCCGAACGGCTCAAGTTGCAAAATACTTGAAAAAAAGAAAGCAAAGACGAATGCAACCGACCAGATACAGAAACAAAGGCAAGATAAACTGCTTCATGGCCAATACTCTGCCCGTACCAAACAAGCTGATGTAGACAAAACCCGTACCCATCAGTGGCCACGTAGTGCAGGGTTGAAAGCGGAAACTGAAGGTTTTATCCTTGCTGCATACGACCAATGCTTGCTAACTAGGAATTATCAAGCACATATACTAAAATATTGTGTCAGCCCAAAATGCAGAGTCTGTGATAAATATCCAGAAACGATTGATCATCTTGTATCAGGTTGCATGATATTGGCACCCATTGAATATAAAACCCTACATGAGAGAGTGGGGCAATATCTGCACTGGAAAATCTGCAACTTCTACGGGAAGGAAACTGAAAGAAAATGGTATGAACACCACACAGACCCGGTTACGGAGATAGGACCTGTTACAATTCTATGGGACTACACAATACACACTGACAGAACAATCAAGGCCAACTGGCCAGATATTGTTATTAAAGACCACAAACAAAAACGGTGCTTCCTTATTGATATGGCAGTCCCTGCTGACTGCAATGTATCTTTGAAGATATTCAAAAAACTGTTAAAATACAATTAGAAAATAGAAATCTCAAAAATGTGGCATATGGGAACATCAACAATCCCTGTTGTAGTTGGAGCCCTAGGAATGGTTGGAAAAGATTCCAGTAGACTAATTGAAGGGATTCCTGGAAGCCCATGCCTTAAATAAATACAAAAAATTGTTCTGACAAGTACAGCCCACACTTTACGAAAGGCTTTATCTATGTAATTATTTTTTTGTCCATGGAAAGTGTCATGATGCCATTTCTAACCTTAGGTCCCTGGGCGGGACCCGGAAAGAAATGTGTAAACGCCAGAAATCAAAGAAAATAAAAATAATGATAATAATGAAGTATGAGCACCACCCAGACACGGTTAATAGATAGGCCTGTAACAATTTTCTGGGACTTCACAATAGACACTTGATAAATATCCAGAAACAGTTGACCATCTTGTATCAGGTTGAAAGATGTTAGTACCCGATTAATCTAAAACAGCATTGTAGAATGTGCCAATCTGCACTGGAAAATATGAAACTTTTACGGGAAAGAAACTTCAAGAAACTCGTATGAACATCATCTAGAAACAGTTACAGAGAGAGGATCTGTAACAATTTTAGGGGACTTTAAAATTGTGTTGGAATGTGTCACGAAAAAATAAATGATTTCGTCTCTTTGTCTCCTGCTGTCGTAGCGACGGACACAGTCTCCACTTCTGAGACTGAAAAACACTGCCCTCTTTCTCATTCCAGCCCTTTACATAGAGCTTGGTAACTCACCTATGCAAAACACCAACAAGCCAGCCTCCAATCACAGTTCCCGCGCCTGCCCACCTCCACTCACTTTGGGGGTGTCAAGTTGAACAGACAGAACAATAAACGCTAACATCATGATTAGAGAGCGCAAACAAAAAAAAAAATGCTTTTTTATTGGCAAGGCAGTCCCTGTAGATTGCAATGTATCTTTGAAGATCTTCATAAAACTATCAAAATGCAAGGACCTTGAAATCGAAATCTCAAGAATGTGGCACGTGAGAACATCAACAATTCCAGTTGCAGTTGGAGCACTCGGATTGGCTGGAAAAGATTCCAATAGATTCAATTAAGGGATTCCTGGTAGCCCATGCCTTTGAGAAATACAAAAAAATTGTTTTCACAAATACAGCCCACACCTTATAAAAGGCTTTATCTACGTAAAATATGTATGATTTTTTTTTTTTTTTTTTTTTGTAAATTACTCAGTAGAAAATGTCATGATGCCATTTCTGACCTTAGGCCTCTTGGCGGGACCTGGAAAGAAATGAGTACACACCAGAAATCAAAGAAAATTAAAAAAAAAAAAACTAATAATGATATCTGTGTATCACAAACTGGCCTCAACAGAGTATTTGCAGTGACCTAATAACACATGAAAGTACATACATTTGTCAATATGTCTCACTTCAACCTCCCTCGCAAAGAGAATTGATGGGGACATAAATCAACACATGATGTGAAAAAATGAATACGCCACCCGCTTGAATTTCAGCTTTCAGAAAATTAGGGATTACAGTCGGATTTTTAACACATTGCTTTACGCGCGAATAACTCTGACAAATGTGTGAATGCATCTCCACCCCCAAGCTTTGGATTAAATATTAGGACTTGTATCTAGAAAAAATCTTTATTAATCTATAATTGTTAATGCAATATTCACTCGCCAAAAATATTCTTGTAATGCGAAATATGTTTCGGCTTTAAATAACCTTCTGAGCAAATCAGTTTAGCAATCGATGAAACTGAAATCCAGGCAAATCGACAATGAAATATAACTGTCAAAAAATCATGTTGCTAACACGTCTTCTGCTAGAGACTGCAGCGCCAGCCAGACAAAACTCATCGTTTAAAAACATTTGAGGAGCTAAGTAAGTAGAAGATGGCATCTCAAGATCACAACATTACCTGTTGTTAGTGGGTCCCTAGGAATGGTATCAAAAGGAACAAACAAATATGTACATCAAGTTCCTGGCGGCCCTAAACTATGTGAATTGCCAAAAATCATACTCAAGTATACTTCTCACCTCTTGTGTCAATTTCTCTCCATTACAGTGACTATGGTTACATTATTTCTGTTTTCTGATTGCATGTTTGTGTCTTCTGATAGAAAAACCTGTTGTCTCTTGAAGTCTCTGGTTGTGAGTTGGGTGGGGCGCAACACGTATCAAACAAGTCAAAAGCAAATAGCAATAATAAAATAAAAATAAATAATATAACCATAGCAATCAAGGCCAGACTTATTGATCAAAGACCACAAAAAAGACTCCAGTTTAGCTTTGAAGATCTTCAAACAACTATCAAAATACAAGCATATTTAAGTGAAAATATAAAGAAAAATGTGACACGTGAAGAGTCATTGAAGGATCCCTGGAAACCCATGCCTTTGTTAAATAATAGCATAGACTATTATTTTTGGAGGAAGTGTCTCTTGGCTCCGACTTACTGAGGCTGACCTTAGGGGTCAGATGGGAGACAAAACAAGGAAGTCGATTTTAATAGGCTGAGACAGTGTGGGAATGAGAGATATAGAAAGGGTTTGCAGAGAGTTGTTTCTAAACCGTCGAACAATGTAGACATGTTCCCTTCCGTGTCTGGAACTGCTCCCCAGTGGATGGAGAAAGAACCCAACAAGATAAACAGAAGATGTATACGTCGATGTTAATAAAATGGTTTATGTTTTAAATTTCCTGTGTTGAAATTCTTTCCATCTTGAATAAAAAAAACTAGCGATCACCGGCCGAGAGAAAACGAGAGACGAAGAGAGAGAGAGAGAGAGAGAGAGAGAGAAATACGAGTAAATTGGCCTTCGCCCAAGACAACCACCACCAGGGAGAGTATACAACAGTTATTATCAACCATTATTGACCAGGATCACCCAGCAGGGTGGGGGCGCATAATGAGGGTTGCAAAACAACGTGAAAAGTTCGAAGAAAATTTTCAGATGAGGTCAAGGGAATAAAAAATAACAAAAAGAAACTGTACGTACGATGATATTACTATGTTCAGCAGCTCACACACATATATGCACACACATTTAAATATCAAACCAAAATAAGAAGTAATAAGGAAAAGAATTTAGAAAAAAATTTAAAATATAGTAAGTGAACAGGCTTTGATGGACAGACAAAAAAGACGAATAAAGAAAGAAAGAAAGAAAGAAAGAAAGAAAGAAAGAAAGAAAGAGACACCATGAAAAACCACACTTACGAATACACACTGGGGAGACAATGTCAATTTTGATGAAAGACTATTTTTTCTTGTTTTGTTTTGTCTTTTTACAAATGTTTAGAACCATGTGCAGAAATCTATTGTTGATTTTTATTAGCAAGTTTTAATTGTTTTGTGTGCATCCAAATGTTGTATATCTGCCAATCTGTTGACCACGTGGAAGCCTTAATTCGCGTACGTGAACGCATTGGAAAATTCTTTTGGAAAAGAAGGACTGACGGCATTTTGAGATGGGGCATTCCCACTGTGATTTCTGTGTACTGTTAATGGGTTAAACATTTTTGTGACGATGGTTTTTGCATGCATTCAATTTAGATTTCAGTTTAGATTTTGTTAATCGTAATTAACTAGCAAATGATTGTTTTGTAACAGAGTGTGGATTTTTTTTTGTATTTATTTAAGAGATGTATATGTCATTTGCCTTCCTTGTTTGAAGAATTAAGTTGTTAATAGGTGAATTTTGGGAGTTAATTTTTTGTGGAA